AGGAATTCTGAGGAGAAAAAAAATTCTAAGTAGGTATCTCTTTAATTTTTTGGTGTAAAATTGTGCATAAATGCCTTAATTTTTAATTCTTTTTATTTTCTTTTGATATCACTAAAAACCCGATTACTTAAGCCAATATCATTTTTCTCTCTGGCCGGACTTGCTTAAATTTTATAATAAAATGGAATAAAAGTGAGAATACTATATACCAAAAAATAACCACTATTGCTAATCAGACCAGGCTAACTAATCACAAGGGTCAGCCGTGTCAAAAATAAAATCAATGGTTACTATTTTCCTCTTTTTTGCTAGCGAATTTTCCCATAATTCAAAAAAAAGGAGTATAAGGGTAATCACGGGGATGATGATAGGGCTTGGCTTTTGGATAATTCATTAGCACTGGTTGCACTAAAATATATAACAGATAAAAAGTTGGATTAAGTAAAGTAGCAATTAGACTAAAACGCTTTTTTTTGGCTAGTTTATCAACCGAACAATACTTTCAAAAGTAATAGAGTACTAGTCCGGGGGCTAACACATGCCAAAAAAAGTTATAAAAATATCAAACTTTAAACGTTCCGATTTCCCCAATGAGGGGATAAATTATCGTGGGGGGTTTACGAGTGGGAATAGTTAACAAGAAGCCGCCCAAACAAAAAATAACTCCGCTTATTAAATTAGTTTCAGCAATTACTAGGTCACATATTTGTTCGCCATAACTACTGTTTTTTTTCCGGGTAAATAATTTATAAATCGCTCAGGGAACAGTTAAAAGAGAAGCCCAAGCCGACCACCAAGTAAAAGCCCACAATCAATATCTTAACTCATTTATTTCAACATGGTGTTTATGGAGGGCATTGTCGTAATAAGCCGAGACAATAACGGGAAGAATATGAGAAAAGATAATAATTAAAAGTAAAATAAACTTTTTTTTCACGAACTTTTTTGGCTGGGCGGGCATATATTTAAAGTTTTTGGTTAATAAACCTGACAAGTAATTAACTAAACACCAATACTTTTTATCTAAAATATTTATTATTATGAGTAGTGAAATTGAAAAAATATTATTAGACTTTAAAGGTAAACAAATTCCTTGATTTCCCCAAAAAAAAAACCAAACTCTCCGACTTCCTTTTCAAAAAGAGACTAAACCAGGCGATAAAATAGTTATTGATAAAATTTTACAAAAAGATGAGCAATTTGGTCAGCCTTATTTACCTATTAAACTGATTGGGGAAGTAATTAAGAATGGAAAAAATAAGAAAATACATGGTATGAAATATAAGGCAAAAAAAAGGACGAAAAGAACTTGAGGTCATAGTGAACAATATACCGAAATTAAAATAGTAGGCATTGAAGGGGAAGGTGAAGAATAACAGAAAAATTAAAGTATAATATGTTATATATACTAAGCCAATAGAAAAAATATCATGTCAAACAATAATCTAAGAGAAGAAATTCAAAAATTAATTCGCCAAATTAAAAATGAATATCAGGAGGGAATTGATTTTGAGTTTGTGGCTCCAAATTTAGTTAAACAGGGTGGCGGAGGAGTTCGTATTAAAATTATTTCTCCTAAATTAAAAAGATTTTGCCGAGAGCGGTTTAGTCTTCCGTATTCTGATACCAATTTTGTATTAGATTGAGAAAAAGGCGACCAAGAAGAAAACGATGTTTACTATCGAATTGGCGATAATAGTGTTGAATACGATAGTTTGGATTATGTAACAAAAGGGATTTATCGACACACCAATAACAGTCTAGGACCAAATAAATGTAAAGTCTGTGGCAAACTGACTTCCTATGAAAAGGGGCAAATAGTAGAATGAAGTAAAGGGTATATTCCAGGAACAGAAATCATTGGTCGCTTCCACCCTGAATGTGCCAAAAAAAATTTTGCTGAAAAAGGACAATCAAACGAAAATAATACGCGAATAAAAGAAAAAATTCTCCGCAATTTAGATAAAATAAGTTTCGACCAAGCAGGACATTTGGCTAATGCCGAATTATTGAAACGCCCTTATGAATACGGCACCGAACGCAAAGAGAAAGTAGGAGTTTACCAAATAAAAATAGAGGGCGAAGAAATAAATCTCCGAGATTTTAATAAATGAGGACTCGGATATAAAGAAAACTACCTAGAAATACGAAATGCCATAGTTAGCAACATTAAACAAACTATCTCGGACTGGGAAATTAAAAAGGATGAATACAATAACGAATTTTTGGGAAACAAAAAAACCGGAGTGAAAGCCTGAAAAATTATTTGTTGTGAAATTGTGTTTGAAAATGGAAAGCAAGACTGAGCCGAAATTGAAGCGTTATTAAAAAATAATTCCCCTTCCCAAACTAAATTAGAAAAATTTGAGATTGAAGCCAAAATACAGCAAATTGAAAATCAACTTCGAACGGAAACTAATCCAACTAAAAGACAAGAACTAACCAACGAGATTCAAAAGTTAAATCAGGAATTAGCAGCGACTAAACCCTCACCAAAGGGGACATTCCCTGACCGAAATTCTGTCCCAATTACTTACTGGATTGTCGGACTTTCAATTATTTCCTTAATCGGATTGGTGGTTCTAATAGTAGCAAAAGCCAGACCAAAAAAGAATAAAATTAAATAATAATGGCACAGAAAGCAAGTCCGTATGCAATTCGTTTAGGTTATAACCAAGTTTGAAATAACTATTTTTTTCCGGAAAACAAACAAGAACAAATTAATTGGTTAAAAAAAGATAAATTAATTCGGGATTATCTTAATACCCTTTTTCCTGACATTGTCCAATTAAAAATTGAGTATACCAAAAATAATATTTTTATTTATCTTCATATCGCAGAAATTAGTTTAGTCTTAGGAGAAAATAATGAAAAATTGGATAAATTGATGAAAGAAATGTATCGCATAATTAATAATGAAGAAGTGGCTCTGAAAGTTAATTTAGTTGAAGTAAAAAATATTTATACCCAGGCTCAA